CAGCAGGAAGACTGTGAAAATGATCTCAGACATCAGGCTTGATTTGATTGCTTTCATGTCCCCAAATACTGAGTGGCATAGAGTTTGAATGGCTTTTAATAATTTAGCTGATGTTAAGTGCCTCCCCCTTATCCCAGTTCACATGCTTCTGTACCATCCTTGGCTCCAGCAAATTCTTTCAATGCCCAGTGATACAAAAAAAAAAAAAAAAAATTTATGTGCACTGGCAGAAGGGTGAGGGAAGTGGCAAAACCGTGGCCCGTCATTACCAGGGTTGACATCAGAGTAGCCTCCTGCTTGAGGGAAGCAAAGTCCTAACTGTGTGTCAGTGTAGACAACTCCCTAAGTCGCAGCAATGGGAGGGCTTAGACTCACATAGTTGGCATAGATGTCTGTGTGATTCCACTCCAAGCCATCATCCAGTACAGTGATAACAACTCCTTTGCCTGTGATGCCTTTTTGCCAAACAGGTATCACATGGAGGTCCAACTTGGGCAGGGCTGCAGTCATCCTAGTATCTTGCTGATAAAGAAAAACAAAGAAGCATTGGTAAAACCGTGATTTGTTTGCTGCAAAATAAGAGCTGAAGCTCCAGTCTGGAGATCCATCTTTCTTCTTCCTGTGGTCACTCTATTCGTTAGAAGCGGGCAATTAGGTGAAATAAAAAAAGTTAAGGGTAAGACCGAGTGAATCATCAGAGTGCCTGCTCTTTTTCCAGTTGTTCCAATGGAAAATCACTCAAAAGGATGAATCACCCTGTGCCCCTTGTCTTTGAGCTGCGTGGCTTTGAAGAAGTTCATCCCTAAGTTGCTTTCATTTATAATTTTACCTGTTCAAGCTTTTCATCTACCAAAGCTTTATTTGATGTCCCATGTTTCCATCTCCCCCCAAATCCTGAGCCTCCACTGCCACACTGAATGTACTTTATATTGCCTGGTTCACAGCTCTTCTTGGATGTTTTTATAAATTTTCTAAAAGAAGAGACAGAACCTGGAATGCCCAGGAGGCTGTGGTCTTACCAAGACTTGCAATCTAACTGCCTATGTCCAAGTATGAGTGATTTAGGGAGTAAGTACCTGTGAGAGAAGATTTGGGATTTGTTTTCAGATAATTTCTCTGTTAGTTACTGTATGTGGGACTGTAAGGAAGAAGAGCTAGACAGCAAGGGAACACAGATATGAGCACATCCCCAAGCATTCAAGAGACATGCCCTAGAAGAATGCCAGCTTTTTAGTGAAGAGGTCAACAAGAAATTTATAAATAACAGCAATCAAAAGTGTCGGTGAATGCATTGGCCCCTGGCTGATGCTCCTCAGAAAGAGGTGGGGGCAAAACAAGAATTTACTAGGCCAACATGAAGCTGAATCACAGGAGGCTGGAACTACGCACAGATTGTTGGCCAATGCCAGAGAAGAGGACTCTCTGTCAGTCAGAAGAACAATCATAGAGTGTGGTTGTTAAGAATATGGCCTCTGGAGCCATGAATTATGGCCCCTTCACTATAATTACGTGATTTTGGCAAGTTATTCAACTTGCCAATGTCTCTGTCTCTTCATCTGTTGAATGGGGGTACTTACTATACCTACAACAAAATGTTGTGTGAGAGCTAGATGAGTTAACTCACGTCAAGCATTTAGAATAGTATTTGACACATAGCAAATGCACCAGTGTTAGCTAATGAGTCTCTTCTGCTGCAATGAGTAGGTATTGCCTAGGTTAAGAGAGTTTCAAGAGGAATTGATCTCCTTTCCCATCCATTATGCAACAAGGATGTCTAAGCGTTAGCTTATGGTTGTCATGAAAATTCATCTTTTATAATATTGTCAACAATAAACACTTCTATTAACATGTATTACTACGATAGAGGCTTAACATTAAAACAGAGGAGAGCACTCTGCAGGCAAGCAGGAGCACTTACAGTTTCTCCACTAGGTGCCTACATTCCAACAAGGATTTGATAACTATCTTAAAGGTAGAACTGGTTCGCAAGTCTGGACATCTGCAGATAGATGCCTTTTGTCTTTCCTTGTGTTCCTTCCTTTAGCCTAGTTCAGAAATTCTCACCTGTAAGCATGTGCAAATTGCCTCTCAGGCCCATATCTACTGAATCATGTTCACTGTACCCTTTGGGTGATTTAAAGGGTTCTCAAGAGTAACTTTGATCAAATATGTTTTTTTGCCATGAGTACTGTTTTGGAACCCCTAACTTGCAAGACATGATTCTTCTGTACTTATTCCAGATAAACTTAAGAAGACAAAAGGCAACAACCCTTCCTCTCATAGTAGCTAAAGATCTGTGTTTCAGACATCCTCACATAGTAAGACAGAAGATCCAGATCATGGAAGGTCCCATCAACCGTAATCTCTAGGTAACACAACCCTCTGCTGAATTATCTATCACTCAAAAAATCTGTTGTGCAGATATAACAAATAACCCAGGTCCTACACAGTCCTGCTGTAGGTACTTACCAAGTACCACTGCTGATTCCACATCGGATCATTGAAGAGATCTAGTGCTGAGTCTCTTAGAACTGAACGTTTACTTCTCTCTTTTTCATACTGTTGTTCAGCCCATAGCACCTACAAGGAGTTTTAGAGCAAAAAAATCAACAAATAGCCACCTCTGGTGTAATCATCTTCCCTCTAACTAGCTCTAGTACTCTCTCCATCAGAGTTCAGGCAGCGCCACAGTGTTTTCGTTTGACTATAGATCAAACTGGCAGCTCAGTGAGAAGAAGGGATTGCCCACTGGTGAGGTGAACATTTCCTCTATTACAGTAAAATATACCTTTAGGGGGAGGCGAAGCAGTCAGTGAAGTGATGATTCCCTCAAATTATTTACACTGTGATTACAGTGGGAATAAAAGTTCAGCCTGCTTTCATCAGCAAATGGACCATATTACTCACTTTTATATTGAGGCTCCAGGGTTCTGTGGCAGAAAATTTGTGCATTTTCGTGGAATGAGTCAACAAGCTAAGAGATCCTAGAGACTGCTGTTATGTTGCTCTTACAGCTTAATTTCTCTTTCTTTATATACAAAAATAGAAATTGCAAATGTGACAAAAGACAAGAAAGGCGCTACGTCTTGGCAGATTTGAAGTTCTGCCTCCTCTATTCTTCAACCTTCTGCTTAAGCGTATTTAATATGAGAAACAGATCCAGGGTGATGAATGAGCACTACTGACCATGCACACTTACCGTTGATTTAGTTTCATGTATTATGCAAAGACACCTGACAATACAAAAATTACCTTCCCCACATTTATAGCATAATCCTATGATACTTGAGGCCCTGAGAGGGTGAGGGGCTGCCTTGTGGTTATATTCATTATGAGATAATACCATGCTCTAATTTTGCTGAGCAACATGACTCTTTCCTACCCAAAACATATCCTCTCTTCTGTACACATGATGATAGTCCATGGTGTGATAGGATATTTTTAATGTGAGAATACTAATGAGTCAGATCCAAAAATAAAAATAATTTGCAGCTAAAGGATAAAACCATCCACTAAGACTGTCCTGAATTTCCAATTAGAAAATATACTGCAAACCTATTATAAACATTGGGAGGGACTTGAGAGTTGGAAATCAGTCACTATAATTTATTTTTAAAGTGCCTGTATTTTCAAGCTTAAGTGTTTTGGCTTAAAATACATCAATGCTTGGAATATACTGCCTGTCTTCTGAGTTGGTCTTTGGGAACTGGCTGCTAGGGAACAAGTACTAATCTTTGAGGGAGAGAGTCACTTACAGTTGGAGATTTCATTAACAGACCTATAAAGATAGCTTATTGCTGCATTTCAGAGTGCTAATTTGAAAGAATATCATCCCTATCAAAAAAAAGGAGCAATAAAATGAAAATCAAAAGCAATTTTTAAAAAATGGAATATAAGAGGAGGCACTCTGTCATCTGATCAGATAAACATCCAATTGTTGGAAACAGTGTTATGATTAATGTCATTAACTCCAAATGCCATATTAATCTCTGTAGGAGCAAACCAAGTGGAACAGAGCAAATTAATGGTGTCCTTCTATTATGTATATAATAAGTATCATGTGCTTAATTGTAAATAATCCTTTTGATTTGAAAAGGGAATTAAAAATCATCTAGCCTAACCTCCTACTGCAAGCTTCAGTGTGTTCTAGGGTTTTTCCTGAACTAAAGTTATTCTGGGTATAACTTTTCATAGGATTATATAGACTCCTTTTTTATGAAGTTATGCTGAAGAGTAAATTCTTAGCTCTTCTTCCTTATGCTTTGAGATTTCTCCCCCAAATCAATTATTAAGGAAATATCTAAAGAATAGAACTGGGCCATCTGTTCATTTTAGTGAGATATTTGAGTAATAGTAACAGTTAGGTCTGCTCCACTCTATCCAATTTCCTCCTATTAAGATGAGAAGGAAGGTCAGTTTGACTTTCTTGTGCATTAATGTCAGGCATGTATTTAGGCAGACAAGGAAATCTCTCTCTTGTTTTGCCCAAGGACTAAGCCTAGCCAGAGTGCTAGAAGTTGCCCTACTTTCAAAGCCCACATACAATTAACCATCTGCCTTGGGACAGAGAAGAGAAGATTTCACGGGACAAGCAACATTTAAAGTAATGTTCAGGGCCTCTGATTAGGTCTCTCACTCGCTTCTAGCCATTAACTTGGGTAAAAGCCAGCAATGGTTGTTTGTGAGCTGTGGTGTTGCTGTCTGTGGTCCTGATACAGCATTCTTGGTCTGGGTTTGGTGGCTTCTTTCATGTTTGAACACTGCTAACCCAGGCCCAGTCATTTCCTACTCTCTTAATTTGTCTTCCTTTTCTTCTTTTTTTTAAAAAAATTCTATCAGTTGCATAACAAATAAAATAGCAAATTATTTTACAGGGTTCACGAATTCCTGTACTTTTTAAACAGTTCTAGCACCTTTCTGTCACTTATACTTTTCTTTATGGGAAGTTGAAAGTATGTGTTTTATCTCTCAAAAAGCTTCCAGAATTCTTTAGAATGTCCTAGACAACAGAAATCATGTACACAGATTTCAGGTCAGCCAGGATAAGTTTTCACCAGTATGACACATTCTTGAGAAAAGACAACATTGTGTATGCAGATTCCAATAGTTCAAATTTCTATTTCATATCAACATTCCGTTGGTGTGTTTGCTGACCTTGAAAACAGACTTCAAAATCAAAAGGTACATTAGATATACATGAAATTGGCTCCACACTTTACCTGTATTCATTCTAGACATTTCCTGCTGTTGCCTAATCATTGAATATGTATACAGACCAGGATAAAAAGAGATCAAATGCTTTGGATTCAGACTATACAATACTTATAGAAACATTTGCCTCATGAAGACATGGATTTAAAGCTCCTTCAAAAGCACTAGTTCCCTACATAACCAAACCAGACAGAATGGCAGAATGTTTTCTCAGTTACACTGAAATGTTATTAAGAACAGGGTTTATGTATTATATTTCTCTGGCATCATCACATCAGATATCAAAGTGCTTGGTACATAATAGGCATATAATAAAAGTTTGTTGATTGATTGTATTGTCAAACAGTTCATCAGTGCTGCCACTTGATTCTCAATATTCATTTTCATGCTCTTAGACTGGATTTGTGAGCTAATGTTTATATATATATTGTGTGTGTGTATATATATATATATATATATATATATATATATGTATAAAATTTAGTCAACCAATTCAATCTGATCCAGTTATTATTATGTGCAATTATAACCCTATGGAAATAATAAGAAACAGTACAGATTTTGTGAACACAATAAAAAAAAATCATATTTGCTTTTGCTCTTGTTAGCAATCACAAAGAAGGCAGATAAGTCAGGTTACTGGTTTGAAGACAAATGCACAACACTTACACGATCATCATCAGATAATCTCTTAGTGATATGAAGGGCACTCCTTCGAGACCTCCGAGGATGGTTTTTATGTTTGAATAAGTAGTGATTTTCAAGTGACCCAATCTATAAAAGAAAAAATTAAAATAAGGATCCTCTTTCCAAAATAAGTATCTATAGGTTAGGTTGAAACACAGCTAACTTGGAGACAGGCAGCTTTTGTTAAATCCATTTCTTGTATTGAAGTTAACTTTTTTCTTCATGAGGAAGACACTGATAGAAGCCTTCCCTCTCAGTGTGTTGAGTGAGATGAGCTTCATGATATTATCACTTGGGCTCACAGCATACTTGGGAGCTGATGATGCTTCTGTTCCACGTATTTCAGAGGAACTACATTTGCTTCTCTAGGTGTTATTGTGTAGATAGACATTTCTTTAAAAATATTCATTTTGTCAGATTTATTCTGTCAGAGAACAATAATTTGTGGAAGGCAGGCAAACCCTCTGGTACGATATATAGGCAGTGCCACATTCAGCTAGAATAATTTGTTATGAAATACAGCCATTGAATCCATAGTGATAATTATTATAAGCTACTAGTAGTGACCATCTGACTTTCCAATAGTTCAAGGCTTTGAGGAAGAAGCCAGCATGCCACATTTAGGACAGATGTTCCACCTTGGAGTGTGTAAACTTCTCTGGGTGACTATCAATACATTTGGTCCATTTAGAACTAAGTTCATTATTCTTTTAAGCTAGTTTCCCTTTATTCAAAATAGTACTTAATTTGAACCTACCAAATTCTCTAGATGCCCTGTATGTTTTTAAACTGAGACAAACAATTGACAATGGGTTATTTCGGAACAACTACATTCTTTAGATTGGTGTTTCTTATCACCTAGAGAATTTTTTAATAGAGATGCTTAGGCCCTGCTCCAAGCCTGAACCTCAGGGGCTGAATCTGCTATAAGCTTTACATGGAGTTGAGGAGAGAGAATATTAGCCATAAGAAAGGATCACCAGTGCTTATCTCTGTTTCTGCTATCAACTGGTTTTGCTTCTTGTCACCCCTGCCCCCAATCCTAGCTTTTGAGGCCTTAAGGAGCTCAAGATAGTGATGCTAAGTTAAGTGTAAACAAAGGAAGAAATAAGCAGAGCCAGGAAAGCACTATCAGTCTTTTACAAAGAATTATTATTTTAAAAACATTTACTAGTAATGCCATTTAACTGGAAATATGCATATGCAAATCACATGCAAGTATAGATAGGTTTTCCCACTCTTTTCTAAAGCCTCTTGTGACTATGCCACCCCTTCCTCGATGAGCCTACCAAGAGTACTGATTTATTGTTATTTATTTATTTATTGAGACTTGTGATTTTGAAAGACAGTCCGCATAATGAATGGTCGGGGTTTGGATGTATGTCTGGGGCTAATAAGGTGAGAAAATGAAGAGGGAGTTATTTTTTGCTCTCCCTCCAATCTCCTTTCACACAATTACCAATGCTATTTAGCTGCCCGAAAGATTAAGTTCCCAGTTGTTGTTTTTTTTCCCCTCATAAGACACACAAGATTTCCATGATGCCCACAGTACCCACCCATACAGTTCTGCCCACTACTCACTCTCTTTTTAGATCCCAACAATGCCTTGCGGTTTCCAGACTTATAAATAAGTCACTTCTTTTTATCTCCCTGGTTTCCCACGAGCTGTTTTCTATGCCTGGAGTGCCTTCTCCAATGTCCTTATGTTCTCCAGGGCAACCTTTGATTCTCCTTCCTAAACCTGTGCAAGTGTTTCCTCCTTGGGCTGTCTTCTTTCACCCCTCCCCAGTTCCCTTCCATCCTCAGTCCTTCAATCAACAAGTATTGAGACTCCAGGAACAGCTTCTTTTGCTATACCGATTGCTTGCAATTGCAGTCATTTGTTTCTAAACCAGTCTCTAGACTCTTGATCCCTTGAAAGTTTATTTTCCTCCTATTATTCCTGAGCCCCTAACACGGAGCCTAGCACAGAACAAGGACTGGGCAAAAGCAAAAGTATGGGTCTCCTACTGAGACACGGAGAAGAGAATTCAATAGGTGTATTGACTTCCCTGCTGGGGATTTCAGAGAGTTTGGCTCCTGAAGTTGGAGAATGAAGCCTCTGGCAAGGAGAGGCACATTCCCCAGTGGATCTGGATCTATGGAATTGCCAACGCCCACACCCCATTACTCAACCATGACTTCAGCTGCATCTCTACCACCACCTCTAGAAAAAACGCGCCAAAATGTTTTACAACTCCTTCCTCCCTCCCACCCCCCGTTTCCATGCACAGCAACGTACAAGGCAAGGAATGAGGGCTTGATTCTGAGCCAAGGGAACGGAAAGCTCAGATTAGAACTCACACCCCCTGCGGTGCACAGCTAAGGCGCCCCCTACATAATGCCTTAACGCCTCACCCCACCCCCCAGCTGTCTATTAACCCAGGCCTTGCTTGGACGGGCAACAGCCTTTTTTACTGGATGAAACCCCTGGAAAGCTAATACGCATTTGGCTGGGGAACAAGAAAGATATCCTTTCCCCAGTCACTTCGGCGGCAGCTTGACCCTTCAGGGGAACTGACCGAGCAAAGTTGTGAAGCTCGGACTTTGCAAGTTTCCACTGAGAATCCAGAGCTCGCGGTAGAGGCCCGGAGAGTTGGTCCCATGTCTTTCACCCACCTCATCTGCCACTCCATAGCCCCCGAGCCCCCGGGTCGCGAGGCCCGGCCACTGACACTCTCCCAGTGCCCTGGGCGTATCCTCGAAGGCTGCCGGCGAACATCTCCAAGCCTGCTTGGCCCCTTGAATCAGGACTTGGATCTGATGCTGCCATATTGAAAAGAATGAAACAGCCAGCTCCTGACGCAGACCCGCTGAGTCTCAGGGGACAGAGCGCACCGCCTCTCCTCTGGGCACTGGTTAGTAAGAGCTTGCGTGCATCTCAAGTTCCGTGAACAAGCGTGGAGGGATTTTTCTTCCAAACCGCGCGGGAACGGATTTCAATTCCAGAGCGGACAGCAGCAAGACTAAGCTGTACCCAGCTGCAGCGGCTTGGTTCTGCCTGGCTGCGCCCAGCCCAAACAATAAATAAGGCAAGCCTTCTCCAAGCGCGCCAGGGCCGAGAGCTGGAGAAGCTCCTGCTCCTTGCCACTGTGCTCAGGAGAGTGCAACCTGGGACTCCCACATGGGAGATTACGCTCCAGTCCCGCCAGTCCCCTCGAGCCCTAGAAAGTTTTTTGAAAGTGCAAACTCTTACCTGACCCAAAAGGTCATACCCCAGCTCCTCGGCTATCGCTGAGGCTGCCTCCGGTCCCCCGGGGATCTCCGCCGCCCATTCATTCACAAACTGCCTCTTCGCTTTTACATTATTCAATGCACACCAAGCGCAAAAGAGAGCGAAAGCAGTACACTGCAGAGTCCAGGCTCTTGGCTCCATGGCTCTCCCACTCGCTCGCACACGAGTGGGAAGGAGAGGGGGAATGAGAAGCAAGATAGAAAAGCCAGAAAGGATCGCCCCTTCCACCCTCCGGCTCTGGACCACTTCTCGCTCCCGGTTCTGCGACAAGATAGAGACGCGCAGGAGAGGCTGGGCGGCGGCGAGCGCTCAGTGCCGCGCTTCGGTCTCCCGGTCTCCCGGCAGAGTGGAGCCCCAGCCCTTCCGAGTCGGAATGGAAATCAGTGTTTACACGTCAAATCTACGAAAGCCATCTCTTGACGTCAGATCTACCTGGACTAAGATCTGGATGGTATTCCCAGCGGGATGGAGAAGCGGCTAAAATAAGCAGCAGAGAAGAAAAGGAAGGAAACGTTTGCTCGTATCGGTTAAGTCTGCTCCCGTTCTGATTGGAAATTCTGTAGCCGTGAGGAACACCTTCACTTCTCAAAGAGAAGTGCCCCATTTGAATATAACTACCAGGAATCAAAGATCTGGAGTGCAGCACACTTTCCTTCCCTTCTGTCCGTTTTCTTTATCTTTACTTGATTATCTTGTGTAAGAGGAGAAGGGAGGGAGGAGGGTTCTTATAACGGCCCTGTGGGTATCGGCACCTGCTATGAAGAACAGGGCTTTTCAGTCTTTCAAATCGGACAGAGGCTGGGAGGGCAGAGAGACGAAGGGAAGCTTCTACTGCCCGGATTCTAACCTAAATCGCCTGGGATAAACGAGCACTTCTGGACCACAATGCTAAAGCAATACTTTTAAAAACGTATTTTTAACCGTTCAAACCACCTTAGTTAACAAGTTTACATCCTTCTCTCCTCTGTTTCTCGACCTCAGTAAAACAATATCTAAAATTCTATCCCAGATATTACAGGACCCACTACCACCCACTTTACAGTCCTTATCAGAAAAAATGATTAATCTCGTGATTTTAAAATTTTATTTATTTTTATTCACATGATTTTTAAAAGCAGAAAGTTATTTCCTTTATTTATAAACAAGGGAGTGTAGGGACCCAAGTGCTGTTGTGTTGACTCAGAGAGAGAAAGAGCAGATTTCGTTAACTCTGAACTTTCCATTCTTCCTTCAGTAGAGCTCTTCACTTTGGCGCTGAACTGAAGCTATGCCATTACTTTCCCATAAAATGCACAATTTCTTTTTGTGGAAGGCTGTTTTCCCGTGGAAAGAGAATAAGCAGACGTCTAAGTGGTTCTCCCCGCAACCCCACCCCCACCCCACCCCCACCCCCCCCCCCACCCCCGATCCCAGATCCCAGAACAGGGAAATGGGTACGGTGCACTGTGGCTGAACCTATTCTGATCCTGAGGGGTTGAACCTGGCGGGAAATGCCAGGATCTCCATTCAGCACCGAGGAACGGACAGCGCCACAAGCGCTGGTTGCTGGAGCTGCCCTTCTGAGCTCCAAAAACTGTCGTCTTCCCGCAACCGCCTAGAACCAAACTGTTTCTCTTTTTTTTTTTTTGCGGTACGCGGGCCTCTCACTGTTGCGGCCTCTCCCGTTGCGGAGCACACGCTCCGGACGCGCAGGCTCAGTGGCCATGGCTC